TGGGACAAACTAATAGCTAAGGACATTCCTGTCTATTCCCTATGCAAACATCAGGATTGCATTTGTAAATTGTATTTCTCTTAATTGTTTAATAAGACTTATTGAATACTAGCAGAAGGATGCATTCTTCACTTGAGTCATTATTTTTGTAATTGCAGTGTTTGTTTATTTTCAAAGAACTTAGTATGACATATTTAGGTAAAAAATATTGTTTATTTTTAAAGAACATAGTACAACATATTAAAGATTTAGAACGTGGTACAACATTTAATATTTAACATGGAGCAATATTTCAAATGACATGCAATTGAATTATCTTTATTGTAGAACTTCTTTGTAAACAGTGTTCATGGTGTTTTCTGTTGGTGCCAATATATACAACCCTCCTTGACTACCAATTCTGGAGCAAGCCACATATAACTGTCTGTGTGAAAAGCTATTCCAGTGACTATTTAAAGGAATAGTCACTGGAAGCCCCCAAAACGGCAAGTGAAAAATAACCCACCTATAATTTTCTACAGGTGGTGGTCAGTGATTTTGGAAGGTTTATTCTAGATAGGACCAACCATTTTTGAGTTTAAAGCATGCATACATACATACATACATACATACATATATACATACAGCCAGATGTACACTTCATTTTATAATAATGACAGTTGAACTGAATTCACGTCATACAAAATGGAGTGGTACAGGTTTACCTGAGAAGCAAAGTAACCCCAGTCACTAGAAGCCCCAAAAAGGGTCAAGTGAAAAATAACCTGCCTATAGTTTTCCTTGGGTGGTATTCAGTGATTTTGGAAGGTTTAGAGTAGACCAGCCATTCTTGAGTTATAAGCAATATACAGGCATGTACTGTATTTTATATATATAGATTACTGGCTAAAACTTTAGTTAGCATTTAAGCAATCGGGATTTATCAACAAAATCCATATACGTTTATTGTAGCTTCTTCCCTAAAAATACCAAAGTACTTTAAAAAAATTAATAAGCTTATTAATAAGCTTACTTGTCAAATTGCAGTAGGGTACTAGCATGCAGTACCACTATAAAACTATCATGGGACTTCAACTGCAAGGTGTGTGCCATCCTCAGTTGCCATAGTATGCTAAGGTTGTGCTCAGTACATTTCAGAATTAAGCCTTCAAACAACAGAAAGCAAATACTGACCTTATATAATTAAGCTTGCAGAGGAGTAGAACTTAAATATCAAAAGAAATCTGAAATTACATGGAAATAAGCTACTTTTCTCAAGACCTAGTTGCATGGTCCTTCTGGCCAACCCTGCTTTTTATTGTGTGAAAGACGACTGGGTAGGTTCTCCTGAACTTTATGGCTGCTTTGTCCATGTCAAACAGAACAAAGTTGCAGTTTTCCATAGTGGGTGGCTAGCAGAGCATGAAGAAAAATTCTTCACTGGTCTCCAGGTGGATGAGTTGGCAGGGCTGCCTCCACCTGCAGTACCAGCTGCCCACATCCACCTCCGTAGTCAGGGCAAGCAATGTGAAGAGTACAGCTCTGCTACACCTATCCTTTATTGCTGTCTACTGGCCCCAAGAGCATACATTGATCTACTATGAACAACTGCAGTGCTCTGTAGTGATATGCAAATTAAATTAAATTAAATTCTGCCCAGGGACCAGAATAGCTCTATGAGCACACAGTAGAGCTGTGTTAGAGGCCTAACAAGGCAATTGTGCCCTAGGCACCATCATCACAGAGCATGGCTGGCTACCAACAGCTTTCTCAGCAATTGATTTTTCACATGTCCATTTCCCACGCCCTTGTCCCAGTCCTGCCCCAGTCGCCACCCTCCAGTTACACTACTGCTATGTTAGCATAGCACAGTGCCTACACTGATTTACCCTGATCAGAAAACTAACAGAAGGCTATATTGTTTCTGTTCTCTAAGCCAGCATATTCAGAGATTGCTCAGGTATCCCTGTGTAGCACTACAATTGGCCTGAAGAGTATTACAACAGCTGGCAAAGTTCGAGCAGTTCCTTATGCTAGAATTAGAATTACAGTCAGCTACCGGATGACTTTTCCCCCAATGAAAAGAACTCTGTTGCCAGAAATAGTGTATCTCAGGAGTCAGCAAAATTGTTAGGCAGAGTCTCAAAAACACCTGCAACCTTGACTTCTAAGGTGTTGGCATGCCAGGGGCACATGGCAGAGGAGCTGTGAGGGCCCTGATCCTTGGTATGGCAACATAGCCCCAGCCCCGTCCCTGCTGTCTGCCCTGAGGCTCACGTGCCAAGCAAAATGCCTTGGCGTGTCATGCTCCTGTGCCACGGGTTGCCTATCCTTGATATATCTCAAAACGTCCAGAGTGGCCCCAAAGAACCAGACTTGGGGCATTGATTCACTGCTGGCTCAGAGAGCAGGTTCCTCAGTATCACTCCAAGGTTCTCACCAAGGAAAAGCAACTCTATTTAACCACGTTTTGTTTTATTTGTGATGGTGCTGTTGGAAAAGATTTTTATTGATATATTAAAGTGGATTCCTATTGGAGGTGTTATTGCAAACTAACATGGGTTTGGAATACAGAAGATGCTTTTAGTGCTATCTAGCAGTGTGAACATTAGCATCAGGTATTTCAGCTTTCTTCTCTTTCCCACCTGGCAATTTTCTTTTGTCTTTCAGTTCCTTTAGCAGCCTACAAATGGCTGGTGTGTTACCTACTCCAAGAAAGTGACCTAAAGGTGAACCAGAAAAAACAGTCTGGATGTAGTGATTTTGAGGCAAGAAACAACAGCCAGGTAGCAATGTATTCAGATTCCTTACTTTTATTTACTGGTTATTTTTATCCATACTTCTCAAATGCTTTTACTTTTATCCCTTAATGACTTCCAATATAATTTCCAGAAGCATAAAGCAACAAGTCATAGTAATTAATAAAAATGAACTCGGATCCATTTGCATCATATTAAGCATAACTAAAGGGGATGAATGATCAGTAAAATTTGTCCAAAACATAGTACCCTGCAGAAAAATGCAGACACACACTATTATGGTGCTTCTTAATTTAAAACAATTCTGAAAATTGTATCTGCTACTATTAAATCTACTACAGCATATGATTTTTACATCGGCATATTATGCTGTTTTTATGGCCGAATACATACTGTAGGAAAGAATCCCACTCTGGCTGGCTGATAGATGAACTAGATGACCTAATCGATCTTTTCCAACTCAAATTTATATAATTCAAATGCAGTAATGAAAGATACCAGGCTGACAGCATTGGGGACTGAAAAGGAAATGTTCACAATCCACTAATGGTGGATGTACTGTCTCCCCAGCGAGGCTTAGCAGCCAAACATGGCCCAGGCTCAAACCATCACTTGCAGCCCCAAGCTTCCCAAACACCCCAGGAACCTCAGTGAATAAAATTGGCTGGTCCCCAAGTAAAGAATACTTTGATATTTGTCACTCCAGAGAGATCTCTTCTCTGGCGACAGCCTACCTTATCTGCAAAGTGCATTGAAACTCAGAACAAGAAACACTCAGCTCAGTATCAAAGAAGTAACAATGTGGCTTTTCCCAGCAATTTACCCCCCAGGATGTCTCGTGGTTGGGACTTTGTAAAACCAGTGATGGATGTGAATAAACCCTCTCCACCTGCATCATAGGAGCAGGCAAAGAGAGAAATGTTTTGCTGAATCAAATCAAGAACAGCATGTTGCCTTAGTAGTCTTGACAGCTAACAGAGGTATGAGCCATACTAAGATTGCACCTATTAGGTCACTGAATGAGACCTTTTGGGAAAGTGGTATATGGCCTAGTATGTTAAAAAAAAAAAAAAGTTTCTTTACTGCACAGTACAGATGTGTCTTGTCCTACATCTTCCTTATACTCGTGAGGCCAAATACTTTGGACTATTAGGCATTCTTTGCATCTTATGCAGGGGAAGGGAAGATTTTTATTGCAAATTGTGTACTTTAAAAATATCTGAAAACAATTAACACTCTGGAGTTTTGAAGCCCCTTGCAGATTTGATTTGAAATCACTGAGGCATGAAGAAGCCTTTGCTGTCTGCCCACTGGCAGAGAAGCAATATAGTGCTCAGTCTTGCTTTAGGAGATCTGGAAGAGATTTCTGGTCTGTCTCAATGGTATTAGGGGGTTAGAAGTTCAATGGAGACATCCCAGGGCAGCAAAGGAGGAGTGCTTTGCATCACTCATCAGTGATGTTTCATGTTGGCTGAACAAGGTTAACAAGCTCAGAGGAACATCCTGTCCATTTGTTCTTGGCCAAATGGTTGATGAGAACAATGAGGGGCTACAAGGGAGTGTTTATAAAATGGGAAGAAATGGGGAAGAGAAGGGCAAGAATGAGTTTTTCAGGGATCCAGCCAAAATATTGAGACCCACTAGGTTGTGACCAAAAAACTGATTTTAATTGTGACTTTCTGATCCAAGTTAAAGTCTTGCTGTTGAGGAAAATATTTCTTCCACCCCAAAGTTTAAGGATGTTCTGATGTGGCTTTTAACCTTACATCAGACTGTGACATTGATCACAGATGCCATAGAACAGTGGTTTTCCAGGTGGGCCATGTTTACTAGGGCTGTGCAAAGCTTCGGCAGCTGATTCAATTTGGAAGAGATTCGGCATAATTCAGCAGCCAAATCTCTGAATCCCAATCAACTTGAGAGACCCATTAATCTATCTGAATTCAATCAGAAGCCTCCAAAGTTATTCAGAGAGATTTGGAGATTTGACCATAGACTGTATAGGCTGGCACTGGGCAGTGCTGATGGGAGCAGCTGGACGAGCCCCAGCTTGAACCAGCAGCCCCAGGAGAAGCTGCGGCTCGTTTGGCTGCTCCCCTGGCTGACCCTGTCCCCTCCCCCGCCGGGGTGAGGCAGGCAGTTCTGGCACCCCTGGGAGAAGCCACAGGGGCTGGGGGGAATGATTGGGAGCTGCAGGAAATGATCAGGGAGCTGGAGGATCAAACGGAAAATGAAACTGGGAGCTGGGGAGAACCATCAGGGGCTGGGGGAATGAGCAGGTGCTTCCCCCAGCTCCTGGTTCAATTCCCCAGCTCCCAATCATTCCCCCAGCTCCCCAATCATTCTCCACAGCCCCTGCGGCTTCTCCCAGAGCTGCTGGCTCAAACCACAGCTTGTCTGGCTGCTCCCCTGGCTGCCTCCCCACCAGAGTGAGGCCAGCAGTGCTGGCAGCTCTGGGGAAAGCTAAAGGGCCTGGGGGGAATGATTGGGAGCTGGGGGATTGAACCAGGAGCTGGAGGAAGCCAAGTATTCATTTCCCCCAGCCCCAGATTATTTCCCAGCCCCCGCAGCTTCTCCTGGGGCTGCCGGCTCAAGCCACAGCTCCCCCAACTACTCCCCCAGCTGCTCCCCCCCACACCCCCCCAGGGCAAGGCAGGCAGTGCTAGCAGCTGCAGGAGAAGCCATGGGGGTTGGGGGAATCATAGGGGAGCTGGGAGAATGATTGGGAGCTCGGGGATCAAACAGGGAACTGAGGATTCTAATGGGGACCTAGGGGCAATGATCAGGGGCTGGGGGAATCAACAGGGCCTTCCCCCTAGGTTCTGGTTCAACCCCCCAGCTCCCCAATCATTCCCTCCAGCCCCCGCAGCTTCTCTCAGGCTGCCAGCTCAAGCTGGGCCTTGTCCAGCTGGTCTCCCGGCTGCTCCCACCAGCACTGCCTGCCTGTATAGTCTACAGCCAAATAAGATTTGGTGCTGAATATCTTTGGATTCGGATTCAGCTGAATCGAATCGGGACAGTGATTCATATCACCATAATGGCATTGCAGTGTGCTGACGTCAGTGTAGACACTTTTCCTAAGGAATGAATGTGCAGAAATACATTGGGTGTAGGGAGTACAAACAGTGATATTTTGCAGGTAAAAGGGCATGTGGCCCAAATAGTTTGAAAAACACTGCCATAAAATGGTTGTAGAGAGAGTTGCATTTTTAAGAATATGCTTTTTTAAAACGTGTTACATGCACATAAAGGTAGCCATATTTGGTTTGGTTTTCTTTTACGTTTCTGTAACAGACTATATATAATATATAATATATTTATTTATTCATTCTATATATTTCCTGTCTGTTATAGAGATTTAAGACAGCCAGACCAATTGCAACTAAGTATATATAGGAAACAAACAAACGACTAATGCAAAATGAATGTAAGAAACAATCTTGATCAGTGCAACAAATTGGCTGTAACACAAGCAGTTCCATATCTATCTGTGATTCACTCAGCATAACTCCTTTATTCGTATAACAACTTTGCAATCTAACCCTCCCTTTCTCTTTCTTAAGGTATACTACTGTCGTTCATTAGCTATAGCTTTTATTGAGCATACAGTCTTACAAAGATACCATGATTACACTCATGATCCCACCACACCATCTACCCTCCAGCCTGTCCTAAAGCAACTCAGTGCTCTCTATGGACTATGGTCTTTAAGTAAACATATGGCTGTGCTCTATCAAGGTGAGATCAATTCCCTCTATATGTTCTGTTGGTCATCTTCTAATGCCCTGAATTGTAATCTTCATTTATTCTATACATTGTCAAGAAGAGAGAATTCCACTCAGGGTCTGTTTCTCATTGTCTATACTATGCACCACTATGGGGTAGATATTCAGGCCTATATACTATGAAAGTTGGGTGGCAGGCCTATGGCCACAAGGAAAACCATAGGCCTTCCTTGTCTCTAAATATAAAATCATGAGCCTCTACTGTTAATATTAAAAAACTTGATCTATTATCTTTAAAAACATAGAGACCTTAAACCATCTATGTGATCAACTGTGAGAGTGAATGTAGAATATGTAGACAAGGTTAGGGCATCAATGCAATCCACTGTGGGAGAGAATGAGGAATATGTAACTACATGAAAAAGGCAGAGTTTTGCAGCGTCATGAGTAAGACTATCACTATGGTTGCTTGCAGACGTGAAAAAAACAAAACAAAACAGTGCTATACTGGAAGAAGCAGCATGTTAGTTTGACCGAGATCTCCAGCCTCTGTAGAGATCAGGTGCTTTAGCAGAGCCCTTTGGGGTTTTTTATCCAATAGCTGATTCAGTCAGCTTAGATGAAAGAGCCAAAAAACCCCACTCAAGTGCCCAGTCTGTACAGATGTTGAGTGAGCTGGGTCTGACTAATGCAGTGCCTCTTCTGGGCGTGCGCTAAGCTTGGCACAGAAGTGTGCCAAGCTGAAAGCAAAGTGTCATTCTTTTTTTAATTTTGCAAGCAGCCTGTGATTTCCAAAAGAGGCTGTATGTAATCTTCAATGCTGCTAAACAAATAAACAGTGTGTTTTGTAAAAGGAATATATCGGTACAACTCTAATTGATTTTACTTCACAGTTTCATTTCTCCAACAATATATTTGCAGGTGGATATATTTCAGGTGAACAACCTAGTAAGTTCATCCAAAATGCTATTCTGGAACTTTGTTCCAAGGTAAGCTTCTAATATTGTTTTGGTCTGGTTGGATAGCAATATAAAACTAATACCAAAAAGAAACATTACCAGTTATTCTACACTTCAAGAACTCATTGACTAGACACTACACTTTTAGCAACTCAACAGCTTTTTTTCTTACGGGGCAGGTTAGTGGCATAAATAGTGGGTTAAATCCTCAGGGTTATTCACCAAGACCCTAGATAAAGTGATATTTCATGTTTTAGAGAAAATGCTTGGCAAGTATTGTTCTGGGTTTCATTTGTCATCTGAAGCCTTGAAGCTTATTAAAAGGGCAAGCCAGTAAAAACACTTGACAGCTGTAATACAGTTCTATTTCTTTTGTTATCATCTTGGCTCATAAATATTGGCTGTGTTTTATTCTCTTTCAACACACATTTTTTTCAAACTGACGTACTTTTGCCCAAGAAATGTATGAAATTATGAAGAAGAAAATTCCTGAAGATTTATTTAAATGAATGAATTACAAAATTAATATGTTACGGTACTGCCTAGATGAAAATATGTCTTAAAAGCAGTCAGTAAAGTACAGAATGTTGTCGGGGTTTTTATCTCAAGGGGGAAAAGAATCTACATGGTTTTAATTGATAAATGAATCTTTAAAATGTAAGTTTTTAAATTACTCTTGACTGGTAGCTAGAGTAAGAATTCAGCTTCTCTGTTGTTCACAGGTAACTATAGAAATCAATATAAGCTTCCAAAATTATGCCCTTTGTTTTTGAACAGTTGAAAGATGATGCTGTTGCCTTGGTTGATGTCATTGCTCCTCCTGACTTCATTCTGAACTCACCCATTGGCAGATCTGATGGAGAGGTAAATAACATCCCCGTGTTTGTAAAACCATTCATTGAAATGGTATTTCTGTAAGTGTACTCATATCTTATGCCGAAGAAGTTTCACAGGCTAGAAATAAGGGAGATAGTCCCTTGGTACATGCTGCTGCAACTAATTTGACTTCAGTTGATCTACAACAATTTATACCAGCTCCAATGTATAGTAAAAAAAAATCATGTGTTATTACTCAGGATGTTTTCTGTTGTGAAAATCCCTGCATACCCAGAACTAAAAATGATTATATTTAAAGAACCCCAATGATTCTTTGAAGAAAAATCTATTTTCTAGATATTGTAATCTTTGGAGGAACTTTACTTTCCTCCTAATTTTTCTCTTCATTCTGATTCCCAAACTCATTGGTTCAGTTTCCATGATGGAACTGCATATGGACCCCAAAGCTAGACTACACTTTTTTTGTTTGTTTTTTACTTCTGTATTATATTGCCCAGTTAATCTAATCTGCCATCCATTATCACTTTGGGAATGAAATCCTGGCTTCACTGACTAAACTCCCATTGACTTTGAGGCCAATATTTCATCTTAACTGTGCTTTTGGTGAGTTTTTCCCCTGAATATTGTGGTTTCAGATTGTCTGACCAGATGCATTATTCTCTTTACTTTTCGAGTTTGAAACTTGTGCTCATATCTCTGTCTCCATTTCTAAATAGCCTAAGATTGTTCCAGTGACTTAACTGATGTTCACATCCCCCCAAGTTTAGTGTCATTTATGGACCTAATTAACATGAAAGTTCATCTTCAGTTTTAGACACTTGGTGAAAGTGTTATATATAGTAAGAGAAACATGAATTTAAAAATTGTTCCAAGTAGGAATTACATTGCATCACAGCAAAAAATCATTCTCAATCAGTATTTAACGTGTCAGTAAAAACCTTGTAAAGGATTGAGATGGCTCTTAGCTTGAAGAATGCCATAAAAACACATCAGTGACCAGTTATAATAACTCTGTGCTTTGCTCTCAAATAAGAGTATTTAAAGGGCCTTCAAGTGCTTCACAAAAAATTAACTCAGCTTCAGACTAAGTTCGTTAAAACAAGGCCAGCGCCTTCAAAAGTAACTAGTGCTTTTGGCAAGCCAACCTGAAACACCAGGAGGGGGCCCCAGGTTTCAGAGGGTGAGTGCTTAGCACAGAGGTTGTCAAATTGGGGTATGCGTACCCCTGGGTGTGCTTGGAATAGTGCTAGGAGCTACCCAGATGTGAAGGGCAGAGGGAGTTCACACGCAGCAGCTGCCATCACCATTCACCACCCCACACTGCTGCCGCCACCACATGCAGTCTCCCCACCGCTCAGCATCTGGCCTTCACCACCCTTGCCCACCCCCACACTGCATCCAGCCGCTGCCACCATAAAGAGTACACACTCCTTAAAAAGGGTGGAAAATCCCTGGCTTAGCACATTCTGAACATCAAAACACCCAGAACTGCTTGGAAACACTCTAGCTAAGATTTTAAAATGTGTTTCTTCACACTAGTGCCCCAGTGCCTGTTTTGGCAATAACATTCTTCTATGACACCTGGAAATGTTGCTGACTTACAGATATCCCTAGAAGCAGTTTGTTCTGTGCTTGCCAAATTGAATAAGGGATATGAGAGTCAGTGTCTCCCTTGTTCCAAAATAGCAAAGGGTTTTGGAAAAGTGTCTATATTACAGTTGGATATAATATAAGACCATGATCAAATGTTTATATCATTTGATTCTAAAGTCTTATTATAATAAATGTCTGAGATTGAACAAAGTAGAATACACAGTTGTCCCATGGCTATAATTATTGTGCCTGATAATGATACATCAAAGACAAGAACTGAATACAGATCTGTACTTCAGCAGAGAGAGAAGTGGAAAATATTCAGGAGTTCTCTGGTTTGCAGCAGAGAGAGCACCTAGTATTATTATACCCACTTTCTCAGGCTGATTCCCCCTACACTAATCCTGCCCCCCATAGATCTCCAGTATTGTTTTTTCTACAAGTATATGTAAAGAAATGTAACTGTTCTTTGAATATTGGGCCAGGCACAAAGCCTGCTCAAGTCAGCGGACTGAGTTTGACTGATTCTGAATCAGTTCCCCTGCCCTCCACTTGGTTTGCATGGATGAGGCCTCAGAAGCATTTGGTTCAATGCCATTTGATAGTAAAGCCCATTTTAAAAATACTTTATTCCTTCTAGAAAATGTTTTAACATTATGAATCTGCAACATTTTTAAAATAGACAACTCCATTTCAGGAACACTGCATAGTATTTTCAGCTTTATTTCATGCAGATGTCAGGTAAAAATTTATATGAGAAGCATCATCAAAATTTTGAAGACAGATGGACTTGTTTTGTTCCACTCTCTCATTACTGCTTGAGAGATCAGTGACATGAAATGAAGTATTCCGACTGGAAGAGCCACCCTCTTCCTAGATCAAGCGTTTATAGCTGCAAAATGAAAGCATTAGCTTCTAATTTATTTCTGTGGTCATGCTCAGACTTGATCTGTTAAGTATTAAAAATATTTTTTCCAAGGCAACATAGTGTTTCCTAACAGCATCCAGCAATATGTCATGTATTCAGGCTACAAGTAAAGCCAGCCTGGTTTCAAATCAAAATGGAATTTCTGGTGTATGTGGGAGGTTCAGGGAATGCCAATGCTCACTTTTGATATCATGCTGCTAGCAAGCCAGCTGAATTTGGCAAATGTTCTTTTTATTAGACACTCTGAAAAGTACTAGCATTACATCTAAAATGGTTCATTTCTCCAGTCTGTTGAGAAAACATAGCTGTAACAGGACATCTGCTATGGCACCTGTTACTGGAGGGAAAAAGGGACACATCACACAGAGAATGGGGGAAAGGAAACTTACCCATGTTGAGTGCAGAGCACCAGGAACCAATTCCTGTTTCCCAGTTGAGTTGCATCCAGCTCCAACAGAGAAACGCCTGGGAGCCAGGCTGGGTCGGATTGGCTCCCAGGGGAGGAGCCAGGAGGAAAAAGGGACACAGGTCTAGAGGAGAGACTGGTGGGGTAGGGGCCGTCAGAATGAGGGACTGGTGTCACCAACCAGCAGAGCAGAGCCTGGGGCCTCGTCCTTCCAGAGTGCTGACGCAGCCCCGAAAGTACAGTTATGTACTGAATGCTGGGAGGTGGTGGAAACATCCTCAGCAGGAAGAGACTGGTATGGGTGAGTGGCGAACTGACGCAGGGCTTCTCCTGTGGGAGGAAAAAACAGAAGGAGCTGGTTCCCAAAGCAGAGGGAATTGAGCAATTCCCCTCTCCGTCCAACAGAGCCCTAGGAAGACTGGACTCCAGGAAGGAACAATAAGTGGGTCAGCAAATGTCCATGCTGAGTGGGGCAAGAGGACACTGGGACCCTGAAGAGACAAGGGCCAGCCATTAGTGCTGCCACTTATCACTCAGGGATAACAGAAGGCCTGTGAAGAGAATAGTTTGCAAAGGAGCGCAAACCCACTATAGCAGCAGCAGCAGCGAGCTAGTTAAAGGAATAGCTGAAAGGATCAGGAATAGCTATCAGGATCAACCAGAGGGAGAGGAAGACCCCCGGAGAGGCAGGGATGTCTAGAACATTACAGATGTGGTCAGGACAGGATGTACAGGTTGGAGGCACCCTGTGAAGAGGCCTACAGTCACAATCCAGACACTGACTAGGAAGGCCACCTCCCAATCTCCATTTTCCTTCTTCCTCTATCAGTTTTCCATGAAGGCATGGCAGGTGAGTAAAGGAGGACAATGCAACTACAAGCCAGATAGCAATCACAACACCAAGGGTATCAGCACAAATTCTACAGAGGTGCATTGTCTAGGAAGCCATGGAGGCAACCAATCCAATGGCAGGAATCCTGGAGGATTGGCAGCAGGTGCACAAACTAGTGTTACAACTACTGCAGGGACAGCAGATGCAAACCGAGGAG